ACTTTTCAGCATTCAGCAGCAATATGCTGTTACTCATATTGATATTGGTTTTACCTCTGTATCTGTTTTCCACTATTTTATATTCTGTTGAAAACGTTCACCCTGTTTTATATCACCTTTCCAAAATTTTCCGAAAAATAGTCCAGACGAGTGCGCAGAAAATGTAAGTTCACACACTATTATTAGATAAGCCCAAAATTTTAATTTCTCCAACATGTTTCTTATTCATAATTTGAGTCTTCTCTGTTATGAAATAATTTGCATTTTTTTAAAGAGGTCCTTTTAAATTCCGTACCCAGCGTAAGTTCCAACAAAAGCGCTCATTTTTAATTTTTCGTATGCGAGGTGTAGCAGGCAAAATTCCGCAGCATTATCTTGAGAATGGGTAGAAGTATTGAAATTCTATAAACGCCGTTGTTTTTAATGTAAAAAATATAAGATATTTAAATGAAGAGTTACATTATTATAATACTTTTATGTTTTAAAGTCTTGGACTATTGTAATCTTTCTTTGCTCGCTGTTGAAATTGGTTCAATTATTTAAGTCTAAAAAAATAATCCATTATGAAAATTGGAACAGTTATAAGATGCCCTCTTTACTTGATGGCCAGCTCGCAGCCCAGATTTAAAGTCCTTAAATTAATTGTGGCTACACATAAAAGATTTGACGTATTTGCGGCCTTTACGTGATTTAGAATTTAAAAAAAGTTGAATTGGGAATATTTGAGCAATCTTAACGCGTAATACGTTATTAATCGCTAACTAGTAAGAAGTTCTGTGTTCATTGTGATGGACGACAATTCGAACATATGCTTAAATGTTTTTGAAACAGATTTAACTAATTGTTTGGAAAAAAAAAACTGGTTCTAGACTTCATTTCACCCAAGTAATTTTTTTTATTTATAACTTATTTTTTTTAATAAACACTATATCATTGTAATAGAAATTTAATGGCATCAAAATCTTTTGAAAAATATATACGTTGCGCTTTAAAAAAACATGGGTTCGCGTTACGACGCTGATGCTATTTACCCGTCATATTTGCAATGTAGTAAATAAAGCTTCATCATTCAAGCTAACAACAATGGCGTTTATAGAATTTCAGTATCTCTATCCGCTAGCTATTGATCTCGGACACCTGGATAAAAAATTTGGACAGAACCTCCTTCGCCTTTGAATCATATGTCTAGTTTGATAGATAGATTGAAAAATTGATTTGGCAAAATTTTATTTTAATGAAAACGTCTCCATATTAAAACAAACAAGTTTACTGTTTTACCAGAATCTACTGAAAATTCCCACAATAAACCATTTTTTTTATCATTTTGTGTAAAAATTTAAAAAAAGTGGAAAGCTGTTTCGAACAGAACTTCCCTCGCCCCTTTGTAATAAATCCCACTTTGAAAAATTTAGAAAAATTTGATTTTGCGAATTTTTTTTGTGATAACCCCTATAAATAAAAAAAATATAAATGCATGTAGAGCACAAGCATAGACTTACAATATGTTGCATATTTTAGATGATGAGCAACAAGAAATTTGCCACAAAGATTCGAGTTGCAAAAATTATTCGTTTTGGCTGTATGTATTAAATTTGGTCAAAGTTTTTTTTAAAGTTAGCCCTAATTCTGGAGGTTTTTTTTTGCCCCAAAAAAGGAAAATTTTCGTTTGTGCTTCATTTCTGTATTTATTGTTGAGTAATTTTCATTATATCATTTAGTATTTCAACTTCAAACGATAATGTTATATAAACGTTTTCATTTGAGAGATTTTTAAAATATCAGCAATTCTTCAAAGAGAACTATTTTTAGTTCCTGGTATAAAAATATGATGTGATGAACATGGGCGGAGGGATTAAATGGATGAATTTTGGTTAACTATTTACCTTGCTTACGATAACCTTTAAACGTTGGCAAGATTTCAGAGCATTCGGTTTCGAAATTTCCAGAATTAAATTATTAAAAAATATTGTTATACAATTTTAACTTGTTTTCCAAAAATCCAAAAATCTGAATATCTAGGTTAACAATTCAACACGCACTCATGAACCACAAGTGCAGGAGTATTTAAGGACATTTTATAAAATGTAAATAAAATTTGCTATTGCAAAATTTAAAAGTGACGTCATTAATTTGTTGATGGGGATGACAGACGAAATTCCATTGGTCATATTTACAGCATGGCAGACAGACAGACAGAAATGGGTAACCTGTGTTTTCGTATTCTCAGGGTAATGAAACGTTCAGAAAACAAAGTAATCATTCGGCCACTGGATCCTATTACAGTATAAGTATATTACAAGGTTTATGCTCGGGAAATAAAAATAAAAATAAATCACTAAAGCGCAATCAACTTTGCATCTATAAGGATACTTTTAACAAATATTTATTTAAAAAATGTTCGCACTTTCGTGATTAACTTTTGTAGAGAGGATGCATAAGTACATTTTAATTGTTGTTCTGTAACCACAAAATTAGTGTTGGTCGCTTGTGAAAATAAAAAAAAAAGATATAAAAGTTTCCTGTAGTATTTATTTTTTTTTTTTTTTAGGTTAATTCGTACACGTATCATTAAAAAATATGTATATACATTGTTATACCATAAACAAAGCAGCATGTCACAGTATGAATTTTAAGAATTGTATTTTTTTGATGAGATGAGAGATTTTGTTTAAGTTTTGAATTAATAAAAATTACTAGATATGTATATTTTTTACGTCCTTTGTTTAATTTAATTTATATTTCTTACAAATAATTGGTGGTTGGGAATAAATTATTATTGCCATTAATTTTATTATTAAACAACTGGTACTTAACAAAATTAGGCTATGACGTTATCAAGTTTTTGAAAGGGATGGAGGGATGAATTCTGCATATCGATTTACCATGTTCACGAAAATCTCAAAGTGTCTGCAAAACTGGTTTTGTAGTTTCTTCTAAGTTAAATTGTAAAATTTGAATGATTAGCCACATTCATTGGTTTTCCGACAGTCAGTTACGTAGTTTCGGAAATTCTCTAAAAAAATAAAGGCGAAAATCAATCAATCACAAATGTAGAAACGAATTATTTTACACATTTTAAATACCGGGTGATTTTTTAAATTTCTGCTCTAGTTACCCATGGCGCTTACGTCAAGAGTGAAATTGAAACTGCTGATAAGCGCCATGGGTAATTAGAGCAAAAATTTAGAAACTCACCCGAGGGATTACATAGCAAACGTTAGTACAAGTAATTTTCACAATAATCAGGTTAGTAGTTTCAGTTTTTCTTTGTAACTTATTTATTATAATGTAGGAAACGCTTTTTAGCTATACTCTTTCTCAATCAGTTGACTATTCTCATAAAAATCAGTAGATTTTTTTTATTTGGCAGTATGTTTCCGAAGTTTTCTTTTAAATACACTTAACAATAACCAGAATGGAGGGGTCTTCGTTTCAGAAATATTTTTGGATGTGTATTTTTACGTAATTGCAAGAGAGTTTTCTGTTTCTACTGATCAAATAACGCAGAACACGACAGGCTATTCGGAGATGTTCACACTGCTACGTGATAACTGTGAGAATTAGGTCTTGTAGCGCAGAAATATTATTGCGATTTATATTATTTTCCCCTTTTAAGCCTTATATGTACCCTTTTACATCAACACAATAAACAGTTGTTAATATGATCACTATTTTCATTTTGGAAATGTAGGTAAGACATCTGATCAGAATAGAAATTTTATAAATACTTATCAGAAATCATGTTGACTAGTAAATTACACATCTTTCCCTACAGTTTAGGTATTTACTTAAATACACTAAGTATGACTTATTCTCGCTAAACGAAATGCACTCTGTGCGATATTTATTGTGCTATATATATTATGTCTGAGAAATTCGCTGCAAACAACTTAAAGTTTCGTTTTTTTTTATTCGTGAGCAACATATTTTCCCTTTTAGCGTTAAGTCGTCCAATTTATAATATCAAGGTTTCGTTTCACTAAACGCATATCTCTCAAGCAATTACCGCATCTGCCGCGATCGTTAGCAAACAAGTACATATTTCTTCGGCATTTCCTTTTACCACCTCACCCATGCCAGCTCAAAGCAAAACAAAAAGCCGAACCATTTAATCAGAAGCGCGGCACGTCTTGAACAGAGCAACGGAAGCAATCTTCTTAGCGAACCGGAAGTAGAATCACCAAAGCGGAACCAAAAGAGCCCTATCTTTTGTCTTTAGGGCCGGTCGTTCACATCGTTGAATACCTGCTGGATGCGGCTTCGGAGAGCACTAGATGTTCAAGTGCGCGACACATTCCTTCGACGACGCTGCGGACAAATGGCTTTCTCGCTGAATGAAATATAAAGAATTCTAATTAAATGAAGACTTCTCCAGCGAGCACGTTTGTATTCGGCTGGGAAGAGCAATTTTCTCTTCATTGCAGCAAACCGCGCTTTGTTTGACGCGTCACGAACGGGTAACGTATCTACTACCTGAAATATTTACAGAGAGGCTGGGTCTGATGCATTATGTGTTCGTGATGTTGTTGCTGCTATGAAGAGAAATCTGATGTCTTCGATCGAGCGACATATGTCTAATGGGTTTGTCAGTGTGGATTATTATTGTTGTTGTTGAGGATGGAGAAATGTTGTCGATGTCGGTGCTGGCGGAGGAAATGTAGTAAATTAGTGTCTGGATAATGTGTCAATTGTGGTGAAAATGCCGCAAACCGAATGCTGTTTCAGCCGGAGATTCTTGCTATAAATTGGTGCACGGAAAGCTATTATCGAAACATCATGTGTCAATATGATTTCCATGTGTACGTTTTTTCTACATAAAAATTGGCGTAAAGTGTTTTGATAGCATTTTCTCTCCCTGTGAGCCTCACCCATGATACAAGTAAATATGGTATGGACATACGCAGGTTTGCTGACGTCACCTGGCTGTATTCAGGCGGGAAATTGAAATATTTACCGAGCCCAACTAAAGTCACCAACGGAGGACTACAAAAAAAAAAACATTTTCATCATGAAATAGAATTGTTTTAATGACAGAAATAAATTATTTAACATATTGTGAAAAGTTCTTTTACTTTATACCGTTCTTAAAACAAAAATATAACGTCATATCTACATTGTGACAGTTGAGGTAGCAGGTATATGCAAGAATTAAGTTTGTCGTTTTTGTGTTATTGTATCTCCTGTTTATTACAAATCTTGGAACATGGCTTACTGTTCAGTCATGGGTTGTAACACCAGCCAAAAGAAATCCAAAGGAATTCACTTTTATAGATTTCCGAAGGATCCTGTTCTATCAGAGCAGTGGTCAGCATTTTGTAGGATTCCTCCTGTTAATACAAAAAATGGTAACAGCATAAGTATTTTACATTTAACAGTGGAATATTCACACAGATTTGTTTTCTTTGTAGCTCGAATATGTTCTCTTCATTTTGAAGATAAATTTAATTATAAATCTATGCAGCAGATAATATTGGGCTATAGCCCAAAGAACAGGAGAAGGTTAGTGTCCACGGCAATTCCCACAATTAAAATTCCCTTATCTCCAAATAAAAGTGGATTTTGTGGAAGTTCGGATCAAGTGGAAGTGTCTGTCGAACACAATTTTACGCCAAATAAAAACGGCTCAACGGAAAAAATAGTGCGAAAAGTTGATATCAACGCGCGCAAAAAGTGTCATGTTAATTTGTTTGGTGTAACAGACGTAGCAAAAGAAACGGAACATGGTATTCAGCCGCTAAATGACTTTGAGGATACAACTAAACAAAGAAATTATGAAAACGAGTGGGAAAAGAAATTTAATGCATTACAGAAAAAGTATGATGACATACAGCGTGAAAATGAAAAAATTGAAGAGGAAAATAGACGACTCGTAAAGAAATTAAATGAAAAAAATGATTTAGTGACGATTGGTACAGCTTCAAAAAAACTGTTTACCCCTGGTCAGATACGGCGCCTAATTAAACAGAAACGTGTCTGTTGGTCGTCCGATGACATAGCATCAGCAATTTCTTTAAGAAGTGTGAGTCCAAAAGCTTATCGATATTTGAGGCAAACCTGCAAGTTTCCATTCCCTGATCTGAGAACTCTCAGACGATGGGCCCATACTTTTGATATAAGTCCAGGTTTGCTAAAAAACGTGGCTCTTCTCATGGAGAAACAAGCCAAAAACTTAACAGTTTTAGAAAGACTCACTGTCTTATCATTCGATGAAATGTTTGTGAATAAACAAATTTGTTTTCTAAAAACAAAGGAACAAGTTTTTGGGCCGCACAAGGCAGTCCAAGTAATAATGGCCCGGGGTTTGTGTTCCAATTGGAAGCAACCTATATTTTATAATTTTGATACTCCTGTTACCAAAGAATTATTACATAATTCATTAAAACAGTTGTACCACAGTGGGTACACAGTGACTGCCATAGTAAGCGATATGGGTACGACCAACATGAGACTATGGAAATGTTTGAATATCAATACCAGCAACACAAGTTTTAGCCATCCTAGTGATGAAACAAAGCTCATTTATGTTTTTGCAGATGTTCCACATCTTTTAAAACTGATAAGGAACCATTTTTTAGATCATGGATTTATTTTCGAAAATTCAACCTTGACAAAGAGCGCGGTTGAACAATTTTTAGCTCTGGGTGAAACATCTGATTTAAAAATGGGTCATAAAATTACCCAACACCTAATAGATGTTAAGCGTTCTCAACGCCAAAAAGTGAAATGGGCGGCTAAATTATTTTCTCGCACCACAGCAAATGTCATTAAGTACTGTGGGGAGAATAATTTAATTAATGATCCGAATTTTAATTTACTTGCCAACTTTGTCGAGTTAGTTAATGACTGGTTTGATCTATTTAATACCAATTCTAAATATTCGCGCACTGGCGTTGTCGGCTATGGTTTAGATCTCCAGAAGCAGCAACAACTTTTATCTAAAATGACTGAAACTATAACAAAGCTAAGAGTCAAAGGCCATAAATGTTTGTTACCATTTCAAAAAGGGATTATTGTTAGCAATAGCTCTCTAGAAAAGTTGTTTTTGCACCTCAAAGAACAATACAATCTGGAATATATTTTGACCCATCGCTTGAATCAAGATGTATTGGAAAATTTCTTTTCTCACATGAGAGCAATGGGTGCTGCCAATGACCAACCAAATCCAGTAGATTTTATGCATCGCTTAAGATGGTATATTCTGGGAAGACATTCACCAAGAGCCTTAAGCAACAACAAAAATTGCGAGGAAGATAACGCCTGCAACTTAGTTCAACCATTAGGTGGAAATGAAGTTTGTTTGACAGTACCCCTTTTCACATCATTAATCGGTACTTCAAACGAATGGTCAGGCAATCAAGATTTTGACGATTTTGCACATTTGCAGTTCACTGATAATGACTCTGATATTCATGTCTCTTTACCATCCACCATTGTTAGCGATGAAGGTCTCCGGTATCTCGCTGGATATGTTGCCCATCGTTTTCGTACAAAATATTCTCATCTTGGTGTCTCATCACAGAATGTTGTAGCTTCTACATCTACTTCTGATTGGATTCAATTTATATCCAAAGGGCAATTAATACAGCCATCGCCAGAATTTTTACAAATTGCAAAAGCGATGGAAACTTTATTTCTGGCCTATCATGGGCCTGAAATAAAAAAAGAGCCAAAAATTATTCAAAATATTGTTAATTTAGTTAAAATGAACATAGACTGTATGAGTGTTCCTGATGAAGTGCTTACTTGTTTAGTCCGAACAAGAACTTATATCAGAATAAGAGAAATGAACAAGGTACATTATCAAGACAGCTTAAAACACAAGGGTTTAAGAAAAATGAAAAAAATCCCTGATTTAAATATTTAATATAATCTTCGGCTTCCAACATCACATTTTCTTTCTTAATAGTTGTGTATTAAATTATTGGTTTGTACTTACCAAATGTACGAGATTCTTTGTACAATTATTATTACTGTTCACAATCAGTGTAAAAACAATTTGCAATGTTTCACAATTTTTATTCTGCAGAGTATCTTCGGCTGAAATATACATATTTACTTATTATTTGCTATCATCCCCGCTATTTTTTTAACAACGCTAGGTCGCTAGCAAACCACCAATTTGTTTTTACGCATCAGTTTGGTAACAATAAACAATAACCCTCATAACCACAAAAACTCATAACTGCCTCATAACCCTTAAAATTGATATTTGACATCAGATGTCAACACAGAAGTGGAAGGTCATTCACTCCACATGACGTCAGATAACGTTGCGCAGAAGAAGACGAGTTTTGGTTCATGGGATGTCCATACCATATTTACTTGTATCATGGCCTCACCTATACCTTGTCGGGACATATTTTTTTGTCAAAGAAATCGAAAACCGAGATTAATTTTTTCATAGCACCTCTCGCTGTTCGATTTATTAACATTTTAGTGACGCTTAATGTCATTTGTATATTTATAATATGTATCTATTATTAGTGGAAACGTTACTGCTTTTTAGAATCCTCGGAAAACAACATTGTATTTAGTACCTTCATTATTGCTACGAAAAGTAAAAATTGTTCTTTATTTAGACATTTTGTCTAATTTTAATTTCTTAATTATTTAAAAGTACAATTATCAGTTTTCTGGCCCAAATTCAAGTGAAATTTGCCTCACCACAAATTAAATTTGCCATATAGTAAGACCAATCAGATTGTTGATAATTGCTAGCACAACAACTTGAAAATAGGCGGTTAGTTTATGATAAGACATATTTTTGAAATAAAAGTAAAAATAAGAAATGACACTACCCACTAACATTAATTCTCACAAACTAGTGAAGATAATAATTTGAAAAAAAAATAGGTGCTATGGATCTTAAATGGTGCAAAATCTGTAAAATTTAGGACGATTTCATAATTCTATATTTTTGTGTTTTTCTAGTCAACGTACAAGCGTTTAATAAAGTTTATCCATACGTTTCAATGAGCTATGAAGGTTTCAAATAAATACATTGCATACTCTTTTTCTGAGATGTATATTTTATTGTATTCTACAATAATCCACCTGCGTAAAGTTAAAAATAAGGGTGAATTACTAACATACATTAGAGTGCACGTCATATTACATATTTTTGTTCAAATTTACTCAAAAAAAGGGGGAGGAGGTCATCAGTTTTTTGGAGGTGATAAAAATATACGTCCTCACTATCTTCTAAAAAAGTCAAAGAACAAAGTCATACGATTCTTTAGCGACTAAACTTATTTTTAACAGTGGTCTGTTTTTAAGGCGTAACACACAACTTAGGGTTTTTTTCATGAAATATCTTGTATATTTTTACATATTCTTATTAGCTTCCTCCTAGGTTGTATATAACTACAGTTTATATTTAAAATTCCGATGCTACGTTGCCTCGTTATTCCAATTTCTAAAACAATACAATTTTCAAATATCGATATTTCAGTTTCTACAACTAGAACACCCTGTATTTTATTACTGAGTCTTACTCTATTTTTTCTCATTCTTCTAATGTGTCAGTGTGCCTCTTAAAAAAGTAAAAAACCGTTTCCACTATCAATTTTAAATGTAGAAAATACTTTACAAAAAAGAAAGAAAATAAAATACAGTAATAAAATACAGGATGCTCTATTAAAAAAAATCGAATATTTGAGAATTTTAAGTAAAAATTTTGTAAACACTCTGTATAAGAAAATTTTATTTTATTTATACTATAACAAAGCGAGTACTTTTATTTATCTCCATGTAAGATATTGTATAACAGATTTTCAAAATCATCCTACTGCAATTTTTTAATAGACAAAAAGATTCCAAGAAAATTTAAATAACGTCGTAACGTCAGAATTACAAAATAAACTGTGGTTGTAAATCCTAAGAAGTCAATCAAAATAGCTAAAAATATATAAGGTGTTTCATAAAAAAAAAATTACATAGATAAATTATAAATTTTAATTCTGCCAACTTATATTTTTAAGATAAACTCTGTATGTCCCAAGCACCCTAATTAAGTGAAATTTTGTTAAAGTCACAGACAAATCTTAGTGACCAAGTGGATTCGGAATAGTATACACTTAAATTGTCAAAATTTTGAAACTTTGGTCACTAGATTAAAGTGTCAAAATGTAATGACAGGTAACAGATTTCATCTGGATTTGCATATTCGAGCAGTCGTTTTGTACTTCCCGAGATATTTAATTTTCACATTTTTTTGTACAATTTAGGCTTTTTTTTTGAAAAATTAGTAATTAGTTCTCTATGGGATAAAATATAGGGATGGATTAAAAAACATCAAGCATATTATTTAAAAGAAATCATTTCACTCATAAGATTGGTAGTGGGAACAAATAATAATTGGCTACTGGTTAGCGTTCAACTGTCTTAAAATACACCCACAATTTCAGAGCAATCGGTCCAGTAGTTTCGGAGATTGCACGTCTAAAAAAATCGTCAACAGACAGACTGGTAGACGACAGATAAACGGAAACGGGAGACCGACATTGATGCCATAAAACGTGGAAAAACATTAAATTAACCATTTGTTAAATGGACCCTTTTCAGTATTTCCCTAGCTAAGGGCCAGGAAATAAAAACAAATATATATTATGAAAACACAAACAGAATTGAATAATAGAGATGTCTTGTAAAAAACCTTGGTTGTTGAGATTTTTTGTCATCTTATAATACGTAAGTCTTTCAATTTAGTGGTACAACTATTTAAGTAAGTGTCCGTTGAAATGTTGGTATCGTAACAAAAAATCTAGAACGTTAAGATTACTAAAAAAGCAGTATTTTTTAACTGAAAATGCGTTGTTTCATATTTGCAAACATTGATGGAAACGTAAACATTTTCATGAATGCTACCACTTAGCAGTTGCTAGTTGCTATCTTTCTCTCTCGTTCTTTGTCTTTTGACTTCCGTTCATTGAGTAATAGAGTAATAAAATATTCTCTCAAAATACATTCGCCTTGTGTGGCATTCAGTTGCAATAAAACATAAATTTCTGTCAAAACAAATAAATATATTATCCAATAACTATGGAATGTTCGTACGACGTACCTATAGTTCCGGACACTTCCGGGGTCACAAATTTTGCTATCAGTTTTGCGATTTCAAAATTATTTACGATAAATCGAATCGCTTCAGCACCTTTATAATTATGATTAATAAACCTTCCATCATTTTATTGGCTTGTTGACCCTTTGAACCTTTTGAATCAACAGCAGTGACGTTGGAGGTCAGTTGTCTCTTCTTTAGAATTTATGTATTGATTTATCTCCGATTTTACACAAAATTTGCTCATTGCCAAAACTACGGATTTGCCAATACCATATGTTTAACACAAAAGAATGCCGTTGAAAGGAAGAAAAATTGTATCTGAAATGAGTGCTCCCACAATAATGTCTTGAGATTTAGCAAAATTACCTTTTGCAACATTTCAGAATTAATATTTCTGTTTGAGCCTATATGCAACTTAGATAGTTTGAAAGATTAAAGTTGCTGGAAGAGGATACACAAGGCAACTAACTTCAAACGAGAGTCCTTAATTTGAAGTTGCTTGCAACAACTTTGCAAACACCCGTTAAAACGTTAGAGTTTATTAGGTCCTTTGGTCAGACCTTTGCTTATAACGATAATTGCAATCTCATGTATACGGAACCCGACTTCGACAATGTCGTTTCGTCATCACGTTGTTACGAAACAACGTAACAATTTCAAGCAAGAGAAATTTGGAAAATATTGCTTTAATTTTAGCCTGCAAACACAGGATCATAAAACTTACTGTCAGCAAAGTTATAATCACACGCAGCGAGCAGTTTTTTTAGTATAATTCTAAGAAAATATTATCAATGTCTAGCCAATCTAGAGTTGTACTTGGAGAATAGCTCGAGTAGAGAACAATAATAATTAATTACGTAAAAATCTTTCATTTGAACTGTTTAATATATTCAAACGGACGGGAGATTGGTTTTAGTGTAGATAAATACGCTATTATGTAATTAAAAGGGAATAAAAATTAGCTTCTCTGCGGAATTTTTTTGTTGCAGACAAAAATCTCTACTAATTAAATAATTACTCAGGAAATAAAGTTAATTTAGACTCGTCTAATGAAAAGGTTTGTTGAAGTTGTTTTCGTTATTGTAGAATTAATTTCTTTTAATTTTAGGAGGACTATACTTATTATTTTTTACAATAAGATGAAATGATTTTGATTTGACTTTAGCTTTATGTTCTGCTTACTGTATTCAGAAGTTAGAAAAATAGTAGAAAATATATCGTTTTATTTGCGAATGAAAAACCTTCGTTGTTTTGACAAAACCGGAATTTCAGTCCATTTTTGATGTATATTATAAAAGTCATTGCGACAGTCGTAGAAATAAAGTAAGCAAGGTTCTCAAGGATCTGCTATATTTGTGGGTCAACATGTGGACTAGATAAGATTGAACTTAATCTGATCATGTTACAACCACTGTAATTTTTTCAAAATTTTCAAACCAGTATATTATAAATTATAACTTATAACGTACGCACCGTCAATCCCTCATATATTGTTTAAATATTAAAATTATTAAATCTGTTACAATTTTTATTTAAAAATTTATATTGTCTGTATAACAACTATTTTTGTTCGTAGACAGCTGAGGCTGGAGAATAGGAAAAGCTATATCGTACCATCTCGAAAAAATAATATATAGACTGAACGTGACTAAAAAACTACACCTCCGGGTTGTACACAGTGATTGTGCAATGTCACGGCATCAATGCTTTATGCCGTTAAATTAACTAACGCGTTGACGTCCAACCACATGCCTATGACATTTACGTTACATGTGTCATTATTTTAACCTTAACAAAGCGCTGATAGCATAAATAACACCGCGAAGCAGATTTGTCAATTCTACATTTGCAATCACAACCTACTTTATTGTTTTTACAGTAAACTACCATATGATCGAAAAAAAAAAACGTCCACTAGTCGCCTATGGAATTGATTAAAAAAAAAATAGTGTTGGCAAAAGCTGAAACTGAAAATACAACAGATTTTTAAAAAATTAATTCCACGGTTGGCTTGACGACGTTTTTTTTCGATTATATAGTGTGTATAAACCACATTCGTGAAATCTCTTCCACTAAGTAGGAATTTGTTCGATCAGTTTGTTATCAGGTACCTACACGTTTACTAATCAATATTCAATATTCTTGAGAATACAAACTTGTTCCATATCTGCTAATGCAACTTGAAAATATTCTTACACCGACGTTCTTTCAATCTGATCGAGCTTATTCTCAGCAACTGATAGAGTTGTGTGCGACTCGGGGAC